GTGTGTGTGTGTGTGTGTGTGTGTGTGTGTGTGTGTGAGAGAGAGTGAGGATAAGAGAACAATCATGGATGCTGTTCCTCGGGATCTATCCACCTTGTTTTTTGAGATAGGGTCTCTCAGTTGGCCTGGAACTCACTGATTATGCTAGGCTGGCCAGAGAGCCTAGGAACCTGCCTGTTGCTGCCATCCCTAGCACTGGGATTATAAGCATGCATTATTATACCCAGCTTTTTCACGTGGATTCTGGGAATGGATCCTGCATCCTCGTGTTGGCATGGCAAGCATTTTCCTGATTGAGCCATCTCCCCAGCCCTCACCAAACTCTTTTAATACCTAAGGATCCTTGTACATCCTATGCCCAGTCTGGCACTTTCCTCCAGATGTTTATAAGGTTTGCTTTCTTCCTCCTTCAGGTCTCTGCCTAAATATCTTCTCAGAGAAGCCTGCTCCAGTGTCTGTGACAGTCTTCCAGCGTGTCCTGTCTTCCCTTCCCTGTCCCCTGCCCATGCCTCCCTAGTGCCCATGTCCTCCTTTCTCACTCACTTGCTATTTCCTTCCATACATTCAGCATGTGATTATCTTACTACTTAAAGCTTTATCCAGGAAGCAGAAAGAAAGGAAGGGAAGGAATTTCCTCTGTCTTGTATTGACTCCTTGGGTCCCCAGTGTGTCCGCGTACTGGGGGTACCACTGTGTCCAGCTGGTATCTGTTGAATGACTGTCACCAGGCTAATGTTGGCAAAGATGGTTCTTCCAAGCCAATCCTCAAGAAGCTGTGGGCTTTGAATTGTGCTCCCAACACATTCTCTGGAGTTAATGGGGTCAAGATGAGATGGATAAGGCTTGATGCTGGCCTCTGCCCCCAACTTTGGGATAGACTAATGGGGTAGTCTTGGCCAGGTTACTTAATCCATCTTAGGCACAATGATGGTGTTTAGGTTCTGTGTCTGTCAAATTCTCTCCAGATCTGATAGTCTATGAAGCATGTGGCTGAGTATGCTAGTGACGATCCGGGGAACAGAATGGCATGGTATATATGGAAAATAGGAATGCAGTTGTAGTGCATGCTATGACATAGATAAGTCTGTGATTGCAGTTGCATGAAAAGCCCAGAATAAGCAAATACATAAATACAGTGAGTAGATTAGTAGAGCCTAAGGCCTGGACAGGGGTTGAGGTGGAGATTGGAGAATCATGGTTAAGAGCCTGGGTGGTTCTATTTTGAAAATCAAAAATAGTAGAGATGTTTGTACAACCTTATGAAGAAAAATTATAAGGGCCAGTGAGATGTCTCAGTGGGAAAAAGTCTCTGCCATGCAAACTAGTGACAATAGTTCAATCTCAGGATCCCATAGTAGACTAGTTTTTGTTTTGTTTGTTTGTTTGTTTGTTTGGTTGGTTTTTTTGAGATAGGGTTTCTTGTAGCCCAGGCTGGTTTCAAATTTGCTGTGTAGACAAAGATGACCCTGATCTCTCAATCCTCTTGCCTCTATTGCCCAAGTATACTAAAATTACAGGCTTGTGCCACCATCCGTGAGGAAGGTTTGTTTCTTTTTAAAGCATTTCATTTTCCACTCTGTCTCTTGCTGCAGGGCTAGGTGAGGGCAAGTTCTTTCCTTCTGTGAAATCCCATCATGGCCTTGGAAAGGTCTCCCAGAGGTAAACAAAGCCAGGACCTACCTAGCACATGACTTCAGCCCTCAGCCAGGGATGGTATGCTGGTGAGAGTCGGCTCAAGAGTTTCCTCTATAAATATTATTTCTCCAGGATGTCCAAGTTTCATAGCTCATTTTCGCTGGGTTTCTTTCTGGCTGTGTTTCCTATACATGTATTTCTGTGAGCAGGGCTGGCAGGAAGGCACAACACCCAGCCTACACCACTCATGTCTGTGACTGGGTGTCCAACCTCCTGTGGGGACTCCATTCTAGTTCTGCAGACCTACACCCTTGCAGCTGCTGGCTGCAGGGAACACTCAAGGGAGCAGCAAGTGTGACCACAGAAAGAGGCAGGGGCTGGCCACACAGCACGTTCCTTCCTCCTGTAGCAGAGCAGGGCAAGGGCTGAAAGCCACACAGTGCCTTCCACCCACCCATGTGTGCCAAAGTTAGTGCTTAGTGCCTGAGGTACTTCATGCATCCAGGACTTACACAGGACTGTGAAGACAGACAAACAAACCTATGGCTCAGCAGCTTGATAACAGAGGCCCCTTGTTTGAAGGCAAAAGTAGATAAAAGTGTAAAAGTACAATTAAATGTTACACCCTCCCATTCTGTTACTCTGTCCCTTTCTCTGTTGTCTTCCTGCCTTTGTTCTTCTAGATCAAAGCAGATGACATACAGCAAAGAAATTGTAGGGAAATAAGTAAATCCTTGCTGAGAAATTTGTAAGCACGAGCTAGCATGTATAGCTCATGAACAGATGTGTGTAAAATGTAAAACTTACTAGATACCAGCCAGGTGTGTCCAGAAGCTGCCCTAGGGAGACTGAGAAGGTGCAGAGGACTGGGGACCCATAGATAGAGGGTCTCATTCATCATTATTCTCTCTCTGTTTCTGCAACCATCTCTGGGTCCTGGCTTGATGGCATTTGGTGGTCCTTGGTCTGTATCTAGTGCATGTTTTTGTGTTTTACTACACACACATGAGCTATTATGCAGTTTTCATCAAATAGTCACCATCTCCCATCTCCCACAATTCTTTGTGCCTTCCAGGGCTGGCAATGTTTTAAAGCTCTCTTCCTAGTCAATGGGCAGGTTACTCAGGACTCTCATCCTTTTCCTTCTTGCCTTCCTTCGTTTCTTCCTTCTTTCTTCTCCCCTTTCTTCTTTCCTTACTGTGTGTATATGAAGTGTGTGTGGAAGGTTGCATACA